CAATCTCTGTGCATTAATTGCGATTGAAGTTAATGTTATTTATAAAATGAAATCAATATAACCTCTACTGCTCATTAACTGAGATGTTCTGGGCTCAATTCTATTTTATTTTCCAATTAAGTTCTATTAGTTTTTCTTATTGGCCCTTGAAAAAATAGCTGTGGAAACAAACAATGGTTCAGAGTCAACAATATGTCCTAAACCTTATATATTTGAATCTAAAAAGGATCTGATGTTCAATTATTAGAAATTACAAGATGCTCTAATATATGCATGCTCAGTTGCTTAGTCTTGTCCAGCTCTTTCTGACCCCGTGGACTGTAGCCCACCAGGCTCCTCTGTCTATGAGATTTTTTCAGGCAAGTATAGTGGAGTGGATTGCCATTTCCTTCTCCAGGGGACCTTCCTGACCCAGGGGTCAAACCCACATCTCCTGTTTGACATACTGATTCTTTACCACTGCGACCCCTGGGAAGGCTGGCGGCCAGGGAGCGACATCCTCAAAGCTCAGCATTCACTGCGTAAAATACAGGCTGGGGCCCCTTGCACAGACACCATTCCTTAGACTGCTTCATTCATGTGTTATTTGTGCTTGTTACAGCCTGTAACTTTCCCGGAGGGTGCCCAGATCTGTCCGATGTGCTGTCTGAAGGCCGGGATCAGAAACACTTCAGTCATGTTTACAATTTTAAAAATCACTTCCCACTGAGTTGTAGCTACCTTAACAATTGCCCGAAAGAATATTGCTCACAAAGCACTCTGATCAGATTCTCCCTTGTATACGTAGTCCACCTATTTTTGTATGTAAGGCAAGTGGCAACAAGTACTGTCTCCAACAAATTATTTCTGCTGTTAGAACTTCAACAGTTTGTTGCCTTCTAAATATAGTCGTATGCTAACATACTAGTAAAAGATTTAGATTATGTTGAATCCTATCAACCTCCCTCAATCTCTCTTTCTTGCTTTCCTGGAATAAATTTCTTTAAAAAATGAATCAACAGTGTTAGAATTGATATGATTTGTATTTTTTGTCTATTTTTGAGAGCAAGTTGATTGACCTCTAGCTAATTTGTCCAACGCAGAGCCACTCAGCCACACGTAGCTGTCGAACACCTTAAGATGACCCAGTTAAAGAAGAGCCATGAGTGTGAAACGCAGAACAGATTCTGAATGTGAAATGCATCAATAATCTTAAAATTGACTATATGCCGAAATGATAGTTTTCTGGATATGTTGGGTTAAGCACTCTATAGTCCATGGGGCTACAAAGAATCGGACAGGATTGAGTGACTAACCCTTTCACTTTCATTATTAAAATTAGCTTAATTTTTTTCCTTTTAAAATGCAACAACTAGAAAAAGCACAGGTGATTTGAATCTTTGTCTTTGTTTTCTATTAAGCAAAGCTAACCTAGAGTCAAATGGCGCTACTGGTAGAGTCTGTCTGCTAATGCAGGAGACTCAAGACTTGCAGGTTCAATCCCTGAGTCAGGAAGATCCCCTGGAGGAGGAAATAGCAACCACTCTAGTATTCTTGCCTGCAAAAATCCCATGGACAGTGGAGCCTGGCAGGTTACAGTCCATGGGGTCACAAAGAGTCGGACATGACTGAGCAACTGAACATACAATTTAGAATGACCTAGGATGTAGAAGCCCCTTTCTGGTTTTTCAGCCATCTGAAAAAGTCAGAGTCATCCTTTTAACCCAGTGTGACTCTCAAGAAGTCAGTGGAACCACCACTTACTAAGTTGTACCATTTGATTGTAAACTGCAGTCTAGCAGCAAAAAGCACGTAATTCCCCCCTCCAAACAGGCTCCCTTTACAAGCAGGGAGTGAGTTTCTCCAGGTAAGTGTGGCTTCATAAATTCTAATTGATAGTAACACCAATAAACTAAGGAGATTAATTTACAATTATGGTTTATAAAGAACAAGCAGCAGAAAACCCTGTGAATGTGCCGTAATGTATACAACATATAAAGTAATATTACACTGTTATAACACCAAGCTGCATGATTATATATCTGTCTTCACACTTGCCTTCTTGGCTTCTGGTAAATTGGCAGAGATTTAAAATATGAAATTAGCTTCTTAACAACCAAGGATAATTAGTTGTAACATTCTCCGATCAAATCATTAAACACACACACATGCGATGACTTGTAAGAATAATTCACTCTCGTTTCTCTGCAGGTCAGACCTCCTTGTCTCTCTGTTTCCAGTGTAGCCCAGAAGAGCAGGTGCTCTTGGAGATGGTGTGAGCTTCTGACAGGCTGAGTGCTTGGGGAGCCCCCTCATCTGCCAGGCGACCCCCGTTTCTCCCGCCCTTCTGGCTGCTGGGCCTGCAGCCCTCGTTCACGGAGAGGACCCCGAGGCTGGCCGGGCAGCGCAGGACACAGATCCTGAGGGGCTGAGGCCGCCTCCGCAGGGCTGGAGCCCCGCCCAGCCCCGTGCTCTGCCCACCTGGCCCGGGGGATCCGGGCCTCGGTCTCAGGCTCGAGGAAAGTCCCTGTGCTCGTCGGGGGTGCAGGCTGGGAGGCACTGCTGTCCTGGGCTCTGATGTGGTTTCTGAGGTCTGCCGGCCTTTCCTTTCCTGGCTTCAGACTCTGAGCAACACACATGCGTTTGCCGGACTAGCCGGCACCTCGCTCGCCAGCCCCTGCCCAGCTTGCTCCCCAGCTGCCCTCTCGCTCCTCTCCGGGGTGACCTGTGACCCCACCTCAGTTACCAACCGCCTCTCCCCCAGCTCAACGTCCAAGAGCAGGTTTTCTGAACTGCCCGGTTTCCCTTCTAGTTTTCCTGCTTCCTCAGATCCCTTGGATCGAGGCCCTGCCTTCCCGGGGCCCTGTCACTGACCTTCCAAGGCCCCACGGTCGTGCTGACCCCGCTCCCCACCACCGGGCAGGGACCGTTTCTGGAAGCCTGAAGGTTGGCTTCTCTCATCACTATTTTTAAAAATGTTTTTGTCAAATAAACATTTTATAAGCAGTTATGACATCATCACTATTATTACTATTTAAAAATTCAATTCCACTCTGTTGGTCTACAGACAGTTCTTTTTCTGTGTTAAGTTGCCTCCATATGACTGAAATTTCCTCGGGCTCAGGAGCTCTTCTGCTGGTGGTCCCCAACCCTAGTTTCCAGCTGTACCTTTCACACTTTTTTCTTCAGATGGTTTAATTTTTTGGCCTATTTCCTCATGGTTAATTTCCTATATTTAGGAAAGCAATGTTTTTAAAGATAATGCCAGTTATTTTAAAAAGCCAAATTATTGTTTCTCTTCTATTTTTTCTTGACTATACTAGAGAGAATCAGAAGATAGACACCATTTTAGACTCTATCAGTGATTAACATAAACATGCTTTAGAACTAATATTTGTTATTTGTAGTAGGAAAATTTTGTAAGAGCCCAAATGTCCAACTTCTAGAGAAATTGTTAAAAAATTATTAACATTCATATTGTGAAAGTTTCCAAACAGACAATGTGCTATGGAGAGTAATTTGGCAAGATTTGTTCTCTTTATCCCAGAAATGCTAGTTTTCAGACTCTGTTCTATGAAAGCTATCAGAAATATGGTGAAGGACTTACATACAAGGATGCCTTCTGAGTGGGATTTGTAAAAAGATAAAACACTGGAAACCATTCAAAGAATAATTGTGTAATTAAGTACTATTGAGCCATAAAGTCATGTTTTTGAAGATTAGCTATAATCAAGTGTTCATGAGACAATGTTGAATGTAAAAAACTCACAAGATAAAAATATATGGACAGTCTGGTCCCCAGCTTCTTGTATGCTCACCAGATGGGACAAAGTCTTTTTTATATATTGTGCTTCCTTTGCTTTAAATGAGGATTGCGTTATTGCTATTTTCTTCTGGGTTTTGTTGCTAATACAATGAGATAAATGGCATGTTTTCTAGCGTTTGTTCACACACAGAATGTCTCTAGCAGAGAAGCGCTGGTCTTCTGAAATACCCCCTCCCCGACGCGAGCACGCACTGGGGTGACGCTGGGGGGGGGCAGGGCGGGGTCAGGCCAGCCCCCCAGCTCATCACCGCAGAGCATTTCAGTGTGAGCAGCCATGTGAGGCGGGAACAGACGAGGAAGGTTCGGCCAAAATGAGGAGAGAGCGGGTTCTGCCCCCGGCCCTTTGCTCTGAAATGCCGGGGAGGAGGGCGTGGATGCCGGGCAGGGATGTGAAATCTTCTGCGTTTAGTCACCAGCAGAGTTTCGAGCAGCGAAGCCAGGGAAGCAGAAACAGATGGCTCTGATTTTCTCTGAAATGTGGACAGATTGAGGAGGAAGAAGCTTGGCACGAAGATGCAGGGCTTTGGCCAAATGGAGAGCCTCTGCGAGACGGCACACAGCCCTGGAGGGACATGAAAGTGCCCGAACGCTCCCAGAAAGTGTGCCTTGATGGGGACTCGGGAGATGGAGCCAGGCGGGACGGGACCGCATGACCTTGGCGTCAACTCCTCGCTGGCGGCCGAGGGGGAGGAGAGGGTCTCGGTGTCAAGGGCCCAGCTTCCCACACCCACCTCTGCCTGCCTCCCTGGGACCCGGACACATGTAAGCTACCTTTTGTAGAAAGTAAGGGACAAAAAATGTCCTCAACCCCAGCTGCCAACAATGAGCGGGACAACCAGACGGAAGATGAGGGAGGAAAGGGAGGCCTCAACACCGGGGTAAACCCACGAGATTCAGGAGACGCCAGGACCCCCACCAACAGCAGACGAATGTGCTCCCCAAGTGTGCATGGCAGGGTCCAGATTAGACCTCAGTCAGGCTGCGAAGTAAGCCTCCACAGATTTTAAAGACAGACAACGCATGAAGTATCTGCTACAGTCATGGTGAGGTGAAGTTAGCAACTAATAATAGAAGGGAAACTGGGGACATCACAGATGTGTGGAAATTAATATACTCAATCAATGCATCAAAGAAAAACGTCAAAGGGAAATTAGAAAATACTTAGAGATGACTGAAAATGAAAACAAAAAACATAGTATATGAAAATCTTCTAAAGATACTCATTTTTTTTTTTAGCATATTGGGGTTTTATCAGCTTTGATGCTTTGTTTGTTAAATAACAGATCTATTTCTGTTTTAATAACAAAAAGTCAATTTCAGTATCTTTAACAATAGATAAAAAATTACTCTGAAAAATCTAGAGACAGTTCTTCAGCAGCTCAACTGACAGGATCAGGATTCGGGATCCAGTTTCTCCCTGCTCTTTCAGTCAGCTCCATCCAGGCGGGTGTGCTGGACCTCATGGTCACTAGATGGCTGCAGAAGCTTCTTGGGCTCCAGGCTTCCAGGCTCAAATCTAGTAGAAAATACAAAATCTTGAAGACTGAAAACAACAACAACAACAACCCAACCTGAAAGATGAGAATGGTGTTTTGCTTCCTGACCTCACTGAGGACCATAGCCTGGCACACAACTTCTCAGACTGCTCTGAGGGACTATTCCAAAGACGCAAGGGAGGAGCTAGAATAGAGGAGTTTTTGCTGATAAAAACATGCAGTAGGACATCAAAATATAACTGCTAATCACAAAAAAGACATCTCAAATTAATGATTTTAGTGCTTTTCTATGTATGGGAATATTCAGGAGTCTGGGCTCATTAAAACCATTCCTTACAGTTCAGTCAGTCACTTCAGTCGCTCAGTTGTGTCCGATTCTTTGCAACCCCATGGACTGCAGCACGCCAGCCTTCCCTGTCCATCACCAATTCCCAAAGCTTGCTCAAACTCATGTCCATTGATATGGCGATGCCATTCAACCATCTCATCTTCTGTCATCCCCTTCTCCTCCTGCCCTCAATCTTTCTCAGCATCAGGGTCTTTTCCAGTGAGTCAGCTCTTCACATCAGGTGGCCAAAGGATTGGAGTTTCAGCTTCACCATCAGTCCTGCCAATGAATATTCAGGACTGACCTCCTTTAGGATGGACTGGTTGGATCTCCTTGCAGTCCAAGGGCCTCTCAAGAGTCTTCTCCAACACCACATTTCAAAAGCATCAATTATTTGGCACTCAGCTTTCTTTATGCTCCAACTCTCACATCCACACATGACTACTGGAAAAACCATAGCTTTGACTAGATGGACCTTTGTTGGCAAAGTAATGTCTGTGCTTTTTAAAATGCTGTCTAGGTTGGTCATAGCTTTTCTTCCAAGGAGCAAGCATCTTTTAATTTCATGGCTGCAGTCACCATCTGCTGTGATTTTGGAGCCCAAAAAGTCCTTCACTGTTTCCATTGTTTCCCCATCTATTTGCCATGAGGTGATGGGACCAGATGCCATGATCTTTGCTTTTTGAATGTTGAGTTTTAAGCCAGCTTTTCCACTCTCCTCTTTCACCTTCATCAAGAGACTCTTCAGTACTTCTTCACTTTCTGCCATAAGGGTGGTATCATCTGCATATCTGAGGTTATTGATATTTCTGCCAGCAATCTTGATTCCAGATTGTGCTTCATCCAGCCTGGCATTTCACATGATGTACTCTGCATAGAAGTTAAATAAGCAGGGTGACAATATACAGCCTTGACATACTCCTTCCCCAATTTGGAACCAATCTGCTGTTTCATGTCCGGTTCTAACTGTTGCTTCTTGACCTGCATACAGATTTCTCAGGAGGCAGGTCAGGTGGTCTGGTATTCCCATCTCTTTAAGAATTTTCCACACTTTGTTGTGATCTACAAAGTCAAAGGCTTTGGCGTAAGCAATAAAGTAGAAGTAGATTTTTTTTGGAACTCTCTTACTTTTTCGATGATCCAACAGATATTGGCAATTTGATCTCTGGTTCCTCTGCCTTTTCTAAATCCTGCTTGAATATCTGGAAGTTCACAGTTCACGTACTATTGAAACCTGGCTTGTGGAATTTTGAACATTACTTTGCTAGTGTGTGAAATGAATGCAGTTGTGCAGCAGTTTGAATATTCTTTGGCATTGCCTTTCTTTGGGACTAGAATGAAGACTGACCTTTTCCAGTCTTCCTTGCACGTGCACCTTAGCCATCGACGGCCAGCGTCCTATTTTCTCCACCCTGAACCCCTCGGGCGCACCACCAGGGGTGGCAGTGGCTGCTGGCTTGAGAGAGGCAAGCTCCTATGTGTAGGAAATGGAAGGGGACAGAATTTTGGCCCACACTCTTCTTCCCAGGAAACTCAGAACACAGTCCTGAGTCATGTGTGCACCCCCGAACCAAGGCCTGCGGTCAGGACACTGACTGGACCAAACCACTGATGGTCCTGTCTCTGAGGGGAGACTGGGCTTCCCACATGGCCTGGGAAAGCAGGGCAATGGCCAGGAATCTGAGGAAGGGGTGGGTGTGGGCAAAAGGACCCCTATCCCCATCAAGTCCACAGGTGTTCATGCATTTAGATTTTTTTCTATATATATATATCATATTCCAAAACAGATTAAAATAAATATTCTTTCTTTCATGATCTTCTTTCCTAGTTCAAGAAGATGAAGATCATAAAAGAAAGAATATTTATTTCTTCTTTTGTAATTCAAGTGCTTCCCTAGTAGCTCAGCAGGTAAAGAATCTGCCTGCAATGCAGGAGACCCCAGTTCGATTCCTGGGTCAGGAAGATCCGCTGGAGGAGGGATAGGCTACCCACTCCAGTATTCTTGGGCTTCCCTGGTGGCTCAGCTGGTAAAGAATCCACCTGCAGTGTGGGAGACCTGGGTTCGATCCCTGGGTTGGGAAGATCCACTGGAGAGGGGAATGGCTACCCACTCCAGTATTCTGGCCTGGAGAATTACATGGACTATATAGTCCATGGGTTTGCAAAGAGTTGAACATGACTGACGACTTTCACTTCACTTCCTAGTTCAAAGTCATATGACAAACTTACTGGGAATTATCTTCAACCTTTTAATAAGAAGATGTGATTTCCATTAGGAAATTTGTAATACATTCTAGGATAACCTCATACAGTGAAAACTCCTAAAGGTGACTGAATACTTGTTGTTTTTTTTTTTTTTCTCAGTTAGAAGCCTGTGGACAAAATAATCAAGTAAATCATAAATAAATGAGTGAGAGGTATAAAGTAATTTGCAAGCGGTCACATAGTGTCCAAGGAGCGAACGTGACTCTGGCTAAATCTGAACAGTTTAATGTAAGGACAGGAAGAAAGCTTGTTTTCTCATTTCTAAGTGACACAGATGGAAGTGAAGAATTTGGAAACTGAAAATGCAATAATACATATGGTGCTGCTGCTGCTGCTGCTAAGTCTATTCAGTTGTGTCTGACTCTGTGCAACCCCAAAGACAGCAGCCCACCAGGCTCCGCCACCCCTGGGATTCTCCAGGCAAGAACACTGGAGTGGGTTGCCATTTCCTCCTCCAATGCATGAAATGCACCCTGTCTGTGTCAGCCGTTGTCTCTGCCCGGACCGTCCCCCACTGGGGTATAACCTCGACCAGGCCCAGTGAGCCGGGGTCTCCGTGTGAGGGGTCTGGGGCACAGCCGTCATCTGGGGGCTGGGGGAACGCTGGCTGTGTGCAGGCGGTGGGGGCGGGCCTGAGGTTCTGGTGGAGGGTCTGACGCCTTTGACCAAAACTTCACACTGAGTCCTGACTCTTAGAAAATTTCAGATGCTTAAAGTCAGGGAGGGAAGTGATGTGAAATGGGGGGACTTCTAGATCCTTGGATAGCTGGTGAAAACCTCACTCTTTTCAGACTGAGACCTCAGTCCCATGAATGTTTTCTAGAAGGACGCCTGAATACTGACTCAGAGCTGTGGCAAAACCCTGCATAATTTAGATCTTTCCCACTGGGATTTTCACCCGGGTTTCCTTCACATAATAAAGTTATTTTAAAAGTATTTTCTGAAGATGAAGTATAATTACTTCCCTGTGAATGAGTATTTTTGTTTATCCTATGTCTTGGATATCATGCTCAGCAACAGGGAAAAAACTGCAATAAAGAACTTTTAAAAAGAGACTGTGGCCTGAACTGTGGGCTCTGGGCCATGACCTGTCAGTCCAGGTTCTGGGGAGGGACCCTGATAATGGGGAACCTGCCGAGGGAGGTTTATGCCAGCAGTTCGCTGTGTTTTTTGCTTCTCTTTGCTTTGAAACATAAAACGGCTTAGAAAACAAAGTCTATTTTCTTTAAACACACAGAAAAGCTGAGATAAAGGGTTTTTTAGAAGCCCGCGGTATCTTGCACAGACCACAGACCCTCTGTTCCCTCCTGCAGCGTGCGGGCCGAGCCGTGTGACCCACGTGGAGAGCCCGTGGGCACCTTCCCGCTGGCCCCGGCTCTGCCCTGTGTGCAGGCCGCTGGGTATGCTTTCCCGGCGTGCAGGCAGGAGTTTCCAGCTTCCCCACGCTGCTCAGTCTCCCTCTGTCTGTGAGAGCTTATCGGGCCCTAACCCAGCTCCAGTCACCCTAGTAACTCTGCTTAACTCAGTATTTTGATGTTTTTTAAACACACAAAACATGTTCGAACACCAAAGAATCATGATTCAGTAGTGACTGCCAGAAAGCCCTAGGCAAACTTCTGCAGGTAACTCAAGCTCGTGAAGACAGCTCGGAGCTGGGTGTGGCTGGCAGGTGAAATCTAATTAGATGTGCTGTGTGACAGCTTCATTTTAATGAGAGCACCCGGGGCCAGATGCTGATGCCGGCAATCGCCTGGTTTGTGGAGGAGGGTGTTTAACAACCGCAGCATTGCTCATGCCTTGTGTCTGCAGTCTGGCGGAGACAGTCCTCGGTGGATACCTTGTGCTCCTCCTCTCCTCCCGCCCAGGTGGACAACACGGCTGCCCAGGACTCCAGAGACCCTTGGCATGCGTGGCTGAGCCCCGTGGCTGTTTACACTCCAGGCAGTGAGTGTGTAGGTGTTTCCTGGGTGGTTAATTGTTCGGCTCTCTGGAAAGCAGCCTCATCAGGTGTGGACTTGAGCGCTGCCATGACACGCCCCGGGTCACGTTTCCACACGTCCGTGGGCAGCACCGATGCTGTGTGGGGATCTGGGGACCGATGTTCTGGTGAGAACAGGAGATGCACACACCCTCCTGCCTGGAGGAGCCGACAGGGTTTGCACGAAAGGCAACCACCGGCCTCCCGCTGATCACCCGCTCCGCTCGTCCTCTCGAGGCCTTGCCTCGCCCTCACACTCTACATGCCCAGGACCTCCCTGCCCCGTCTGAGGTCCCCGTGTGGAGGGCCGGGGCCTCCTGCGGCCCCGGCGGGCGGGGGGCCGGGCCTCACCCCTGCGGGTCAGCTCGCCCATGTCCCGGCCGTCCCACAAGCCCCGGCCACTTGGCAGCGGATCCAGGAAAGAAGGGACTTTTCCTCCCCAGACTCACCACTTTCCGTCTGCTCTGAGGCTTCCGATGTCACCCCTCTCTGTGGCGTCGTTTCCCGGCTCCTTCCTTCCCGGTCTGACACGTTCTCAAGCCTCTTCTACCAGAACAACTTTGGGTTTGACTTCCTCTCTTAAGACACTGCCCTCAGCCTTCCACAGTCACGCTTCTGGCAGGAGTGACACGCACCGCCTCAAGCCTCAGTCTTCCTTTTTTTGTCTCTAAACAGCGTTTCTGAGCTCTAATTCACACACCATGTAATTCATCTCATTTCAGTGTGTGACTTCAACGCTTTTAATGTATCCACAGACACACAGTCAGAACAATGTTAGACTAACATTCTAACACAGTTCTAACACAGTTAGAACAGTTAACATTCTAACACAGTTAGAACAATGTTCTCACCCCAGAAAGGAGCCCCACACCTGTCAGTGGCACGCCTTTAGCTGACTGTCACGTCTCCCCTCCAGCCCCTTTTTGATTTGCTTTGTTTTCTTCTTTTAAAAATTGATCTATTTATTTTAATTGGAGACTAATTACTTTACAACGTTGTAGTGGGTTTTGCCATACATTCACATGAATCCGCCACGGGTGCACATGTGTCCCCCATTCTGAACCCCGCTCCCACCTCCCTCCCACCCCATCCCTCAGGGTCGTCCCAGCGCACCAGCCCCGAGCACCCTGTCTCAGGCATCGAACCTGGACTGGCGATCTGCTTCACATATGGTAATATACATGTTTCAATGCTATTCTCTCAAATCCTCCCACCCTCGCCTTCTCCCACAGAGTCCAAAGGTCTGTTTTTTATATCTGTATCTCTTTTGCTGTCTCGCATATAGGGTCATCATTACCATCTTTGTAAATTCCATACATATGCATTAATATACTGTATTGGAGTTTTTCTTTCTGATTTACTTCACTCTGTATAATGGGCTCCAGTTTCATCCATCTCATTAGAACTGATTCGAATGAATTCTTTTTAATGGCTGAGTAATATTCCATGGTGTATATGTACCACAGCTTCCTCATCCATTCGTCTGCTGATGGGCATCTAGGTTGCTTCCATGTCCTGGCTATTATAAACAGTGCTGCGATGACATTGGGGTGCACGTGTCTCTTTCAGATCTGGTTTCCTCGGTGTGTATGCCCAGGAGTGGGATTGCTGGGTCATATGGCAGCTCTATTTCCAGCTTTTTAAGGAATCCCCACACTGCCTAAACAACACTCTTACTCTGTTGATCTCTGAGTCTGTAAACCTCCCTGTTCAGGACAGTCTCGTGAACGATTCGCACACTGTGGTTTTGGGGGCTCATTTCTTCACTCGGCCCCGTGTTGCTGAGGTTAACCCATGAGGCAGGACGTCTCGGTGCTTTACTCCTCTGTGTGGTAAAGCAACATCTCATCTGTGAGCACACCAAAGTTTTCTCCATTATTCATCAGTGCTGGATATTGTAGGTTATTTTCACCTTTTGGCTATCATGATTAATGCTATTACAAACATTCAAATAATTTTAAAAGGATGCACCCTCCCACTCCTTCTTCATCTTTCCCCTTTTCCCCTTTTGAGAGCCAGACATTAAAGACTAGAACATTAAGAAAGCAAGAGCAGGATGTCCCCTGTGGTCCACTGGTTAAGAATCTACGTGTCAATGAAGGGGACACAGGTTCGATCCCTGGTCTGGGAAGATCCCTCATGCCGTGCAGCAGCAAAGCCTGAAAGCCACAGCTACTGAAGTCTGTGCACCCTGAGTCCTGGCTCTGCCACCAGAGAGACCGCCACGATGTGCAGCCTGCACGGCCAGGAAGAGCAGCCCCCCGCTCGCTGCAGCCAGAGAAACCCCACACATAACAAAGACCCAGTGCAGCCAAAATAAACAAAAACAAGGAAATAAATAAATCCTAAAGACACCAAGAGCATACACGGGGCAACTCTAAAGTGACCACACATGCCTAGGGAAGGCTCAGAAGGGACCTGAGAAGAGCTACGTCAGCCTGGTCTTCAGCATAAAAGCAGCTTGCACGTGCGCACACACACCCATATAGTAATGGATAAGATAATAAAGCGCAGCAATCCCCGCGGAAGGGCGGGGACCTGATTTCCATTTGTCACGTTATCCAGTTCAGATGTCCAGTCTTCAACCAAAAAGTCACAAGGCATACGAGGAGGTAGGAAAACATGGCTGAGATAAAGGAAAAAAAGGAATTAACAGGATCTCTGAAGAACAAAATTGGTAGCTATATTAGACAAAGTCTTAAAAACAATTGCCATAAACATGCTCAGAAAAGTAATGGAAGATGTGAAAAAAGTTGAGGAAATAATGTCTGAACAAAACAAAATATTACTAAGGAAATAGAAATCCTAAAAAGATACCAAAAAAGTTTCTGAAAATGTGAAGCACAATAACTGATGAAAAATTCACCAGAGTCTCAGAAGCAGATTTACAGCTCAGAAGAAAGACCCAGCAACCTTGAGGAAAAGACTGGAAATTACTGAGTCTGGAAAACAGAGAGAACAAAGAGTGAGGAACAGTGACCAGAGCCTCAGATGAGGGGAAGCGTGAGGACGACCAGATCACTCACTGTGGGAAAACCAGGAGGGAGCGTGAGGAGGCGTCAGGGGGACCTCACCTGGCTTCTCCTCACTCACTGTGGGGACTCCAGGAGGGAGCGTGAGGAGGCGTCAGGGGGACCTCACCTGGCTTCTCCTCACTCACTGTGGGGAAACCAGGAAGGCATGAGAGGAAGCGTCAGGGGGGCTACACCTGGTTTCTCCGCAGAAGCCAAGAAGGCAATAAGAGAGTGAGCGAAAAATTCAGACTCCAGAGAGACCAAAAGTGCGGACTCCACCAAAATTAAGTAACTTCGTATATTAAAGACCATTATCAATAAAATGAAAAGACAACCTACAGGAACAGAAAAAAAATTGAAGCCTGTAAAGCTACACTCTGTGTGTGTACACAGTTACATAACTATGCTCACATGGGGGTGCAAATAGTCGGACACAACTGAGCGACTGACCTGAACTGACACCTATCTATTTATCTATCAGCTACCTATCCATCTGTCTGTCCGACTTTCTATCGAGAAAAGAAGAAAATGGTCATCAAAACATTTAGGATAGCAGTTTACTGGGCTGGAGGGTGATGTGTTCAGTCGCTCAGTCCTGTCCAACTCTTTGCAACCCTGTGGACTATAGCCCGCCAGGCTCCTCTGTCCACGGGATTCTCCAGGCAAGCACACCTGAGTTGCCATGAGTTGCCTTGCCCTCGTCCAGCAGATCTTCCTGACCCAGGGATGGAATCTGTATCTCTTACGTCTTCTGAATTGGCTGGTGGTTTTTTTTTGTTTTTTTGTTTTTTTTTTTTTTACCACTAAGCTACCAGGGAAGCGGAGGAGGGTGACAGAAAGAGAGACACAGCAAGAAGCTTCACCTACATCCCTTGGAGCCTTCTGTTTCCTAAGATCTTTGGAAGATGTGCAGGTATTTGTATGATTATTTAAACAGAACATGGATATTGTATTTACTCTCATGTGAAAGACTCACAAAGATAATCGGTTCAAGTTTTGAGTTTTCTTAGCAGTTTTTTTTCCTCTCCCTTTTTGGGGCTTATACCACTATTTATTTTAGAAGGAGAGATTGAAATTAAGCATTCACATTTCCATGAATTTAGATAGACTGAAATGTTGAAATGGACAAACAAATGAACTGATCTTAAGTTGCATCCACCTGGAGTCAGCTCTGAGTCCGGCTGAGAGAGGGAGCAGGTGCGTGTAACCCACACTCGCTGTCTCGCATGGTCTCCGGGGCTCGCGGCCCCTCACAGGCTTGTGAGTCCGGTCACAAATCAGCAGGAGCCGCTGGGTCACAGGTAGTGGGGACGTGTGGAGTGTGCCCCCTGGGACAGGCAGACGTGCTGTGTGGACACCAGGCTGGTCCCTACTTCCAGTCACCACCTGAGAGCATCGAGGAGGTTGGGAGGAGGTGGAACAATCACCCCTGACACTTCATGGTGGCGAGCTGTGATTGTTCCTGCTCTGAGACCTCAGTTTCTCTCGGTTCACACATTCCTTCAAGTGAAGACGCAGGAGAGGCCCTGATGTGCCCTGGGGTGAAGCCCTGGAACCCGAGCCGGGCCAGCCCTATGCCCAGGAGCCCCAGACCTGGTGCCCAGCCGGACGGGAAACATTTGTTCGCGGGACTTCTGGAGTCTGTTTGGGGGTAATCGGCCTGGTGTCCTTTGTGCTGCGCTGTCCAGCCTGGTTTATGTCATCTGGGAATCCATCCACCAACAAGGGGTAGCTTTAGAGAAACGATCAAAGAAAGTATCTCTGATCGGATGGTCTTCACTTCTGAGCAGCAGCAATGTCCTGCCAGCCCTGCCATCATAGGGAACTATAAATAATGCTGTGTCCCTTTGATCACTAGCTCTTCATGCTCATCTTATTTACTTTCCAGAATCAAGCACTTGACAGTAGTGGTAAGAACTCTAAGCAGCTTCCTTGGTAGACTGCATGGGTCTACACGTCTGCCCCTGAACTGAACTGTTACATTTTTCAAAAATACGTGACTGTTTTCAGAGCTGTACCCACAAGGGCTCCAGAGGGAAGGGGTCGTGCCTGGCGGGTTGGCCAGGGCCCACGGGGCACCTGGATCCCCACTGTGCTCTCCTGGTTGGTCCCCGCGTTTCTGTCTGACAGAAATTTATTTCTGAAATTACTAAAAATAATGTTCATCTGTCGCTACTCCCAAAAAAATCTTTGTGACACTGGGCCAGTTTGCTTGTTGGGCATGAGGAGAAGGCAGACGGGCCATCATCTGCCCTCTGAGCCCCCAGGGAATCCTGCTCCCACCCTTTTGTAAAACAAACAGGCAAACCCCAAACACCCCTCGGAGTCTCTGGAGAGGTTGTAGGATCTTTAACAGACCCCTCCCTTGTCTGCGTCTCGCCTGTAAAGCCTGTGTTTCTATCGCCTTTTGGGAGCCTAGTCTCTGAGGTTCTGAAGGACCCCGGGGAGAGGCGGTTGGTCCCTCTGGGCGGGATGTGGTCAGGGTATAAGTGGCCACTCTAGACCCACAGCAGGCCCCCTACAGGGGGTGCCCTGGCCCCCCTGGACAGTCAGGCCCCTGGACAGGCCTCCTTCTGACCGGTATGAAGGGCAGAGGCTGAGCCTCCATTCCTCAGCCTCCCATCTGCCTGGGCATCTGCTCCCAGCTCCCAGTCTCCAGCAATCCCAGTTTCTCTCCCTGCTTTCTTTCTGGCTTCCGCCCAGTTTATCAATGGTTTTATCAGGGAACGAATTCCAAACAATTCTTAACAACAAAACCACCA